CCCCCCCGACCCTCCAGCTTCTATAGTGTTTATCTTTCCTCCCAACGAGGGGCTCCTCACGTTTTTTGTCAAACACAGCGTAGCCAATCGCACATCAATAAAAGGCTAGGCGCGGGCAAGGGAGAGAGAGAAAGAGAGTAAGTAGGAGACTGCTCCGACCTGGGTGAGTTAAAAAACAACAACCCGGCAAAGAACAGCACCCTCTTCCTTACCGACAAGCACGGACCTGACAACGCAGGGAGGGGCACCACGAGAGTTGAGAACGAGCACCTCAGCTCCCCGCCTACCCGAGGCACACACGTACACACCAAAACTTCAAAAAAAAAAGAGAAAAGCGGGGCGTGTCAATAACACGCCGTGCAACTCATCACGGCGAGCCACTCGCCCTCAGGGGCTGACGTTCTCTCTGATCCCCCTCGCCAAATTGGTACGGCGGAGATCGAAGCAGTTCCTTGTACTTGCACGCCAACTTATCAGGTCGCGGTGGATTGGCGCGCAGCCACGTACAGAGAGCACACAGCAGGGAACAAGTGAGAAACACAATGGCGAGCACGAGGAAAAAACGCCGGTCTGTGTCTTTTTTCGCCACGCTTTCATCTGCGGCAACGTCAGGCTCTACAGTAGATTTTCCGCCCGTGTCGGCGTAGACGAGGTAGGAAGTCATCATTCCCCGGTCCTCGTGGGTTAGGGTGTGGCAATGGTACACCACCTCACCCGTGAAAGTTGCGGCACGCCAACGGATAATTGTTTCACCATCAAAGATGGGAATTGTGTCACGTACATCCCCAGGGAGAACCCCAAAGTCAGCAATTGAAAAATTCTCGTGCAGTCCTCCTTTGCGAGGAGTGAAACTCACAAAGACGAAATGGTTCACGTGCAAGTGCAGTGGATGTGGCACCACGTCTGTGGGATCCCCAAACACGCGGGCCTCAACCGTCGCACCAAGGGGCACGGCAAATCCGTGGTAATTCTCACGTAGCTCTCCCTTTCTGCCTGAAAAATGTTCACGAAAGCAGGTCGTTGAATTGGCACTCGGCGAGCAGTCCGTGCCGTACCCAATGCCGTAGTAGGGTCTTGGGGCCGGAATCCATGACTGCGAAAAGGAAATATCCCGCCAAACTGTTGGTTTGTTCGCAGTCAAGTAATCTATTTCCCTAGATCTAAAACAGAGAGGAAACATCAGCCTGTCGGGACGATGACGCTGGCGTTGATGCCGTTCTCGCTTCAGTGAAATCGGATCGAGACCGATATAGAATATGGGTTCCTCTAACTTCCCTATCATGACGGGAAGGTCCCCTTTTCCATTCTTTCCACATATTGTCACGACATCGTAACGGGTGGCAGTTGTGAAGTACAGCCAATTCCCCTTCACCTCGCGCGTACATTTGAGGGGTACGCCATCGATGGCCGCAATGTGGATACGGCACTCTTTTGGAAAACTAATGTTCAGATGGCACGACCCAGCTGCAAAAGCTAAGCGAAGAAGCGTGGGCTCGTCGCGTTTTACCTTTATCGTCGGCTTGTGTTGCCCATTGACGAGAAACAAGTCCGAAGGCAGCGGCAGTTCCTTCCCACTTTTGCTCACAATGCGGGGTCTCGATGACATGTTTGTACCAATGGCGGTGTCCACCTCCTTCATGGTCATTCCATCACAGAGCGTCGAGTTGCCCAACCGATACAAATGCAGCATTAAGACGACTGAGTGCAGCGAGGCCAGCGGGTCCTCGGTCGTTGCGTCAATGATAAACGGTCCAAACAGCCCTCCCATTAGTAGCGGGTAGGCAGAGCCGTGGGCGTGCGTGTGGTACCAGTGCAACCCAGGAAGGTGTTGCTTCGGTATGCTCAATTCATACTTCATAACCCCCCCGGGAGCGGCAGTCTTGAAGACGTCGTCAACGTTTGGGTCGCCGTGCACACCGTGAAAATGGACGTTTGTGGTATTCACCTCGTGGAACTTGTACAACTGATCCTCACCGTGCGCATACGTCTGCTTGCCTAGATCGTTGAACATACGCATGACCAGCTTCCCCCCAGGCTTGACGTGGACCGCAGGGCCTGGAAGGGAGGCCGCGGCATCGTAAAAGTACAGACGCCCAGCGTAAACGAACACCGCCCCTTCGCCGTAGCCACGCAGCGGGACGGACACCTGCGCCGCGCGAACCCTGAGATCGACAAAGGTCTTTCCGTGCGACGGAAACACCTCCCTCAGCGGCGCCAGCTCCTTGCCACTTCCCGGCACCGCCGCTCCCAGCAGCAAAAGGGATAGGCAAAGCGCCACGCACAGGGACATCCTTGCAGCACTCGCGCACTCCAACGCCGCAAAAGAGAGCTAAATAAAAACAGTCACCAACTAGAGCTCAAACCAAACAGAAAGATGCTTGGAATAAATGGTTCTGCTTCAATTTTACCTTTTTGTTCTTGTTCTTGTTTTTGTTTGTATTTTATTTGTATTATTTTTAGTTCTATCTTTATTTTGAAGGTGTGGTGGGATTTTTCCCACGCGTACTATTCCTTTCTTCGCGTGCAATGCACCGGCACCCCCCACCACGAAGCGAGAGAAACAGAGAGAGAAGAGCAAGGAAGAAACGGACGAGGCCGCCAAAAACAAAATAGGAACAATAGTAATCAATAAAATGAAGGGCTGGGGTCAAAGACGCAAATCAGCAGAAATGACGCGCACGCACACGGAGGTGATGCACGTGCGCGTGCGCGTAAGACGGGAAGAAGAAGAAGGGCGGCGGTGAATCCCCCCATCTTCCCTTCTCGACGCTTCTCCTTTCAGGGCCAAACTACGAGCATCCACTAATAACACGAATGAAGAGGGAGAACAAACAGTCACCATCCACACAAGGAGAAAACGCACATCCTATGTCCTCCGCTCTTTTCCACTACGCCTCTACATCAGGGCCTTCAGCCTGTGAAGCTGCTCCAGGGAGCAGCCAGTCCATTTTGGGTCGGTGACGTCCACGTTGTTGTTGTTAATCATTTGCTTGTACTTGGCCTCATTCCTGCGGGCAATGGGGTCACGCCAGTACGGGTATCCCGCCCACCAGCCGTGCTTGCGCTCCGTTTCCTCCGAGCAGTGTCCCATGTTTTTCCAAAGGAACATCATGCTGAGAATCCCAACCGCTGTGTGGAGTGGATACTCCTGTGTAAACAACTTCAACTGAAAGACCGGCAAACGGTCGCACTTCCAGCGGGTGTAGACCATTATTACTTAGACTGCCACGCACCTACAATGTTTTTCCCTTCTCGTTTCATTGCAGCATATATATATATATATATATATATTTTCGTTGTCGTTGCGACGCAAGAAAGAAAAAGCAAATAACAAATTAAACCGCATTAGCAAACAGTAATAAAAACAAGAATAACACGTTAATAGTGAAAAAGGTGAAAAACAATATGGCAATAGAGTCATCAGTGTGCAATGCGCCCCTCGTGTTATCTCTCTTGAGCGCAGAAGCGAGATCCGGCACAAGAGAAAGAAAAATGCGCTTGCTATACATAACAGATACATTTTCATCTGGCCATTAATCCATCCATGACATGCCATCCACCGGGGTTTCTTCGCACACCTGCAGCGCGCTAGAGGGGGCCCAGACACCACGCTTGAAGACGCCCGTCTGGGCCATTTTAATACTTGGGTAGTGCATCGAAGCGGCATCGTCGCAGGGTCTGCTCTTCTTGTTAAACAAGCCTTCGTAGTACGTCCCGTCTGGAAAGATCCATTGACCCTGTGTCAGGACGCCATCTACCCAGCTCCCGCGATACTCGTTGCCGCCCGCAAAGTGGTACGTCCCATAGCCGTGCTTCAGCCCATTCCTCCAGTTCCCTGAAAAGATGTCACCGTTCAGGTAGTAAAACATTCCCTGACCATGGCGCTTATTCTCCAGAAATTCCCCCTTATACACTGTGCCGTCCTTGTTCTTCATCAGTCCCTGCCCCGTTCTCATGCCACGCACGTAGTCGCCGTGGTAGCAGGGGTAAACCCCGTACTCCACCATCCACGACACAATTTGACGGCTGATTTTGTACTTTTCTGCTGTGAGAGCGACAAACTGTTCATCGGGCACCGCCCCCTCCAACTTCTGCATCTCCTTCTCCACAATCCTGTCACACTCGCTCTTTCCCCGGCTGACAAAAATGTAGCGCCCACTACCGTGTTTCTTTCCCTCGAAAAACTCCCCGTCGTAGCGATCCCCGTTGGGGTACACCGCCTTCCCGCTTCCTGTGCGTTGCTGAAACTCGTCGCGGGGACCGGCGTAAATGCCCAAGACGCAAACGGAACGAACAAAGTTGCGGTCATAGTTCAGGCCCTCGCCCTCCATCTGCTCGCAGAAGGCATCCACCCACGCATCTACGTCCGCCTCACGGTCGTCCTCTGGTTTCTGCAGGTAGCCCTCATCGAACTTCAGCCACACGAACAATTCGGCAGACTTATACCCTGTCTTCTCGTCCACCTCGTCGAGGTTAATTTTGGTCTCCTTTTTTGCCTTCGACATGTTCCTCTTCCCTTTACCGAGGCAGCAACAGCAACCCCGCAGCAAAGCAAGGGAGAGAGAGAGAGAGAGCGAGAAAACAAAACCAAAAAAAAGAGGAAAAAAGAGAAAAGGATCCTCAAATTGCCATGAAGGATGGATAAAACTACGCCTCTCTCGACAGTAAACCTCCTTCCTTCGCCCGCCGTGGCACTATGGCATTGAAACACGAGGTTCCTCGACATCTTTATAACACGCACGCGGGTCACAGCGCTGTTTTTTTTTCCTTCTAGGCAGTCGCTGCCCACCGGAACAATTAAAAACAACTAAACCATGAAGCGGCAATGCGAGACAACGCATACCAAGAAAAAAATACGCAGATATAAACAAGGATAGAGGGCTACACGTAACTCGTATTTTGTGCCACGCGCGCCTACATGGTGCTGGCAATGGAACTTGTGGGGGCGGGAGGGCAGGTACTGCAGCAAAGTGTTTCGGCCACGCAGTTCACCATGCTTCATCGTACAGTAAATCTCAAGCACAATGCAAAAAAAAAAAAAAACTGGTTTTGCGTTTTGTTATGAGGGGAGATGGGGGAAGTGATTTCCTTGAAGGAAACGATGGTAGTAAAAATAATGATGACGGTAATATAACAGGCAACCACCATTGCACAAACACACCGGCAAAAACACAATGAAATACTCCTACGCAGCTTCATTATAAATACTATATATATATATATATGTGTGTGTATCTATCTATATAATATTGGTACACAGGTCATTACCAGTAAAAATGCTTATATATATATATAAATCGTGGCACGTGTCGACAATGAAAAGAGTCATGATCACTTTCATCAAAAGAAAAAAAAATTGTGTAAATTCTGCTTTTGCTTTTGCTTCGCTTTCCCCTTTGGGTCGTGTCTTGACTTCATTCAAACCAAACAATTTTCACAGCGAGGGGGTGGGGGGCGGTACGCGCGATGTACTTTGCCTTCACGACTACCTGTAGCGTATGCAAAAATAAACAGCAACAACGGTAAGCAACGCAAGTGCCGTGACGGAAAAAATGACTATCGCGCGTTTGCCAAGAAACGGCCACAGCAACCGTCGTCTCTGCACGGGAGCCTCTCGTTGCAAATGCGACGGCCCTGCAAAAGCGACGTCTGCGCCCTGAAACGTAATCGGTCCATCATGCAACAAGTTCCTTTCAATCGTGTTCTCCTTGTCGTCGTCGTTGTCGCCGCCGCCGCCGCCGCCGCCGCCGTCGTCGTCGTCGTCGTCGCTTGTAGCTGAAGTCACCTGGCGGGATCCATCTGAAACCAACCCCCTCTCTGCCGAACACATGACACCTTCCTCCCCAATACTGTTTCTGGGCAAGGACGGCACCGACGACGCAAATTCCTCCCTTGAGGCCCTGTCCGAGGGCAAAGGAAAAACAAGGAGACCTGATGCACATCTTCCTTTTTCTCTTCTATTTCAATGGGCAAACAGTGCTCCATCTCACTCTCCAGATTGGCATTGAGAGGATTCGTTTTAGCTGCAGGAGAAGGAGGCTTGCTGCAGCTGCACTGAGACTCCTCGCTGGCAGACGCGACGCATGCAAACTCCACCAAGGCGCAAAGCAATTCCTCGTCGTTCTGCGCAGAATTAACAAATGCTGAGACCACCGTGTGAAAATCCTTGCTGGTTTGAAGCGCCGCCCGCACCGCTTCCGTCGCCACCTTGGAAAGTCCAAAGGGAATGTCTAACACCGAGCACGGTTGCAGCCCCAGCTCAGCAGGAAAGTCCACTGGAGGCAAAATCGCATGATTAGCGAAATTAGCACCAAGTCCAATGGTAAAATGCCTGTGTTGGAGGCCGAGCGCAATGCGCCAAAGCAAAATATCCTTCACACTATAAGATAACAGCAGCGCACTCAGTTCCTCCTCGGCAAAATTCTCCACCTCCGCCTCCTGCACCGTTCTCTGCTTGAGAGCATCCTGGCAAACAAACTCTTTCACCGTTGCCTCGCCCGCAGACGCCAAACTTCGCGCGCGTTCCAAAAAAGTTCGCACGTCATCTTGGCAAAAACCGCGACTCTCATCCGCCCCTTCAGTGAAAAAGGGATGCTTTCGGAGAGAAAAGATGTCTGGCCGTTCCGCCCAAAGCAATCGAGTGCATTGCTCAATCAAATCCCGCAGGCTCCCATTGCTAATCTTGTCCACCTCCAGAAAATGTCCCCGCTGCCTCCCCCGCATGCTCCCGTCAGGGTTACGCAAACCTCTTCGGTCAGCTTCCGCCGCAAAACGTAGAAGTTTTAATTCCGACATCACAGCTGTCACGTCAAACTTGTCGTGGAAAGGGACCTTGTCAGTTGCCAGGAAGAACGCCAGACAACCAAATGCCCAGATGTCGTCTGCTTGTTTTTGGGCGCCACACACATCGTCTTGTACACCAGAGAGAGCAACATCCGGTGAGCACCAACGCAGCCACTCCGCATCCTCACTCATGGCAAAAAATAACGCAGTGAGTATAGACACGTTTAAGTCGGGCGTTACAACGACCAAGTCTGGTCGTAAGCTGCCATGCCCCACACCACAGGCATGAAGATCCAAGAGGGCATGTAGGACTCCCGAAAGTATGTGACGTATAAGGGAGATTTTAAGAGGTCGTTTTGTTTCCGTCCCCCAGCGCGAGGTAACAAAGGCTGGAAGGTGCAATGTTGCACGCGCCATCAGCTCCGTCAGCGTTGAACCCGGAACAAATTCGGTGAGAAGCACATTTGGACAACCATGCGAAATTTCTATCCGTGGTAAGAAAGAATGTCGTAGTTGGGCCGCAAGGACCGCTATCCCCCTCTTAAAGCCCTTTATGACGTCAAACTTCTCTTCAGATCTCATCGCATTCCATGTCAGATGAAATACCCCATCCTCCCAAGATGCACTCATTCCAAAACACTTGGAGATGCCATTTTTGGTGTTGACGGAGCGAGTGGCTCTTACGTAATTATTCGTATGATCGGTAAAACTGAATTTTTGAACGTGGAAGTAGCCCACACACACCAGCTGAGCCTTCAACCACGAGGAATAGCACAGCCAGACCTCACATGTGTGGTCCGAAAAGATCATTGAAATGGGGTAGAGGGCACATTTGGCACGTTGCTTGGAATCCACAGCGGTGAGGCTGTGTTCAGCACTTCTGGATGTCACACTCAAGTCGCCAAGACTTTCATTTCGGCTTGAGGGCAGGGACTTCCCGGCAGACGCAGCTCTGTCATGCAGCCCAATCGCGTATGAGAAAAACATCGGGTAGGTTGCTTGCGGAAGCGATGCAATGATGCCGGTGCCGCTCTTCTCGTCCAACATGAGTGTTCCCGCTGCCTCCAACTCCAAAGAACCTCCGATGGCGAATGCATCGCCCCGGCTCCCAGGCCCCATTTGCGTCCCGCCGCACGCCTAGGCGAGAATGTGCAAGGAGAGTATAACGCGCTGCTACTACAATGTACACTGCCTCCCTTTTCAAGATTGTCTCCCCTCCCTCCATCCTCCCGCCCACCAGAGGCAGATAGATGCACATACAAAAAAAAATGAAGGTGGAAGAAGTCAAAGCGTCACCTAAACACATCTGCCGCAAATGACTTTCGCCGCGGTGTAGCAGAAGTCAGAATGAGAAATCAGCTCAACGCACAGCCAACACAGCCACCCATTAACGCCTCTTCGCGACTTAGAACAGCATTATGAGTCTTAATTAACCACACGACGAGAAACACCTCGTTCCTCCCTCTCCCTCCCCCTCTCTCTCTCTCTGTCTGTCCGTCTCCTCCTCTTCTCTTGTTCCCTCTCCTATTCTTTTTGTTGTTTTTCCTTCCGTGGTTAAATATAATCGGAACGAGGAAGCAAACAAACCAAACCTAACCAAAATCAAACAAAAACAAAAAGCGTCCCGTGGGCGTGGCACCCCCAATCAAGACATCAATCAATCTGTCTCGTCATCGTAGTAGTCCTGATCGTCGTTTGTATCATCCTTCGCCTGCTCTTCCTCGCCAAGGGCGTAAGGGCCTTGAACCACCCGCAAGATCCCGCGACGCTTCGCAATTTCGATTGACATCGTCTCAATCGCCTCTCTCATGCGACGAAGGCCTTCCTCCCGCTCTTCGGTCTTGGCGCGCAGACGATACCTGGGCGGTCCCACAATCGTAACAGAAATGGGAATCTGGGGCTCCTGGTCTGCCTTAAAGTTACGCCCAAGCAAAAGCACATCTCGCAGCGCGTTCACGCCGTCACACTGAAAACATGTCATTTCAATATCGGCGTGAATGGTGGCAATGTCAGTTCGCACAGTATGTTCCAGCGTCGCCAGCAGCAACTTCTGGGCGTTCTCTGGGAGATTAAGAGGCCCCAGAATGCCCTCCACGTCGCGGGTGCGATTCAGCTCGTGCAACCAGTCCCACGCATGCTTTCCTGGTTGCCGGCGGTACAGGGGGTAGGCAATCATCTCCATCGCCTGTGCCGCCGGAATGCCGCATTCATCGGCAACGTGGCACACAATAGAACGCACCTCATTGCCCTTCAAAAAGCGGGCCTCACATTCCTTTGCCTCCTTAAGAGTTACCTGCTTTTTAGAGAGATCGATGTATCCCTTCTCCTTATCAATTCGAATCACTTGCGCAGCCTCATTCCTACCTACTTTGATAACTTTACCAATGGCCCGAATGCGGATACGCGTAATCTCCGTGTAGGGAATAATACCTTCGTGATTGCCGTACTCAAGGAGTTGCACCACGGCGGAAGTGTCATTGACCTGAATCACTTTAACCCACACCACGTCGTTCTCCTTCGGCAGCTTTTCTTCGTAGAAGCACACATCGCGTCCATCCCAGGTCGTTATTCCCAGACAGGCAGCTAAAAACCTCTGCTGGCGCTTGTCAAGGTCCTTCATCCACTGCGGCTTTTGCGCATTATCGCCCCCTGCATTTTCGGTGTCCGTGGTGACAGCAGCCGCGGCGGAGAGAATAGAAGCCTTTTCCAGCTCTAGCAGCACCTTTTCGAAGGTGGAGGAATCGAAGGGGACGTTGAAGGGCTCTGCCAGGGTGAGTTTTCGCCGCGAGAGGGTCGGGTGGCGGATAAAGTACTGCTTGGGCGCCTGGTAATACGCCTCGTCAGTGGTTCGGCAGCAGCACTTCGTACTGTAGTCTACCCTCTCGGTGTCCTTTACTAAGCCATGCGACGCCATCTGTGGATCGAGTTCTTGCCAACGCAGCAAAACAGTGAGGAGAAGCGAGCGAGGAAAAAAAATGGAAATAAAATAAAATTAATAAAAATAAAATGAAGGCCACGCATTGGAGCCAGCAATTTGGTGCAAGGAGGCCTGAACAACGGCTCTTGTGAGAACGCATTGCCCCCTCCATCCCCTCGCTGCACGGCACACACGGCCAGCACCACGCTCCCTCCGTGCTCACTCCACTGCACTCCACACGCACACAGAGAAAAAAAAGCGAAGACCCCAAAATTCACTCTGCCAACGCCGTTGCGATTGCCAACCGGAACAGTGAATCCCCCCCCCCCGTAGGCCACCTGACTTCAATGTGCCCAACAGGCAGCAGGCAGCGGCCAAGCGCCAAACTGCGGGGGGGGGGGGGGGGGCGAAAATAAAGGGAATCACGGCTTTCCCAAACTCAACGCCTTAAACACTGACTCGCTCCTGTGGTATTCGCTCTCCTCGCGCGGGAAACGATGAGGTTCACCACATCAATCCTGAAACTGCAGTAGACCTCAAATGAGCCAGTGTTGTTTCGCGGGGACAGTCGGCGACGTCGCTTCAGGGTCAACCACCCATGGCCTTCCCTATTCGTCTGTAATGAAGGTTAAGGTGATCGCCATCGTGCGTTGATTCCACAGCGCAAAGGGCTAACAAGAAAAAGCAAGAGAAGCGGGGGTTCAAGAGAATACTCCAAGTGCAGTGCCTAGAGGTATGGGGCCTTCGTACAAATAAAAAACAGTCTGAAGGAATCAGCACAATAAAGTGAAGACCACGCACAGGCAGGGCAGAACACGCGTCAGCTTTTTTTTTTTTTTTTTGTATATATGGACTCTCCAAAAGAAGAGAACAAAACAAAAAACAAGAAGAAAAGTAATGGTTAAGATGTCTTCAACGATGGATGCAACAGAACCCAAGCTCAGTTTGCCTTTTGCTTTTCGGTGTTAAACCGGCGGACGTGGACCTGGAATGCAAGCGTGTCAGACACCTTGCGTCCCCGCTTCGTTATTCGGTGCCCCGACTCCGTGCACTTCTCAACGAGACCCAGTTTGGTGAGGCTCTTGCACGACCAGTGCAGAAGTCCCCTTGACGCACGAGTGGTGATCTCCGGACGGCTCCCGCGATTCTTCTTGTTCGAGAAGCGTTTGCTGAGGCCGCCGTAGCCCTCGCCGGGGCGCAGGTACAGTGCCCGCAGCACGGCGGCGCAGCGGATGTAGTACCAATCAGGGTTCTGCGGCGCACGCTCGCGGCCGTGCGAGGTCTTGACTATCTCGGCGCAGTTCGGCACCATGAGTTTGCCCTCCTGCTTCAGGTACTTGGCGCAGGTCTTGATCCAACGCCATGCGTGGACATCCTTGAGGGTGGCGCCCTTCTTCTTGCCAACGCGGCGGATCTTAGACTTTCCCCCTGCTGCAACCATTTTCAGACACCTTCCACAGCAACAGTGAGTGAGGAAAAGAAAAAAAAAAGAGAGAGAGGAGATGGAGGAGGAGAAGTTTGAGACGAAAACAGGTGAACTACGTGAAACTCAAGAAAAACAACGACAACAACAACAGCGGCGGTGCTGCAGCAGCAGCCACGCTTTCCACCTCATCACGCACTGTAAAGGCACACGGCAACGATAGCAACGACACCACATGAGAGGGATCGCCACATGCTTCATGAAGCAGGGGGAAGGCCACAGGGAAACCGCACGCGCAAAAAAAAAGGCCGACTGGCACACTCTCACACACGGGACACAACACGTAGCACGTGATGGCATCCCACCGCCATTCCAATTAAATCATGGCAACAACATTGCCCGAGAGTATATACATACATATATATATATATATATAACATATCTAGCTGCCACCACAAAGGCAGCAAAATGTGCAACAAATGCAACTCATAACCCTACTCCCCCTTCGGAGCCGTAGTCAACCTATCCAACAGCTCACCTCGCTCAAGTTGCCCCCGCCCCTCATTGAACTCTCTCGTGAAGTCGTCCTCGGCGTCGTTGAAAAACGCCTCAATGGCATCACGGTCAGCCTGTCCAAGTAAGTTATTGTCTTTCGTGACACTTCTCGGCGTGGATTCCTCATGCGAGCGAGAGTGTCCCTCAGCCTGCACGCCGTGCCCCCGAAGAGCGTCGTGCCGCTCGCGCAACGTAGAGAGCTCCGTCAACAGCCTTGCACGCAACAACTCCTCCCTTGATGACGCCATCCCCTCAGAGTGCAGCGACGCCACCCCTAGCGATTGCTGCATTCTGCCATAGCGGGAAGAATAGGAGAGATAAGCGGGAAAAGCACACCCAAACATGGGCAGAAAGAGAAGACCCCAAAAACCCACGTGGGCAGAAGGCATCCGCCAAGGAAAGTCGCATGCGTGAAATCGGCATCAGTGCAAGTGAACAATTCACACAGTAATGAAACGTACAAACGAAACACGACAAGACACAGAATAAGATGCGGGTGAAGGAAGTGCTCTTGTGAACAATTAACAAGGCAGACAGAAAATGAAGCAAAAAAAAAGAATCAAAGAAAAAACACCCTAACGTTACGCACTTGCCTCTCCTTTACTTTCTTACAACCAAAGGGTGAATAAAATATTGTGTCATAAGATTAGCATCATGTGGCGCTTCTCTGGTTCGCAGCCCGAGGAATTTGGGTGATCAGCAGGAAGAGCCACAAGGATCTTTCAGTTTTGTCGCTAAAAGCAATTTCTACGCACTGGCCCCCTGTCGCCTTGTCGTGCTCAAGTTGTATCGCAAATGTCTGTGGCGGGGAAGACACCGGTCTCACACGCTTGATCGAGTGGAGAGTAACGATGTGGCGGGTCTGTGAAACGTCATTAGGGCTGTCGAAGAACAAAAGTGCCTTCGTTTGGCTCAGCACGCAATAGAGACGGCTCCAGTGACGTGCAAGCTTCAGAAAAAGGTAATCCTGTCGTATTATGCGTTCACTTTCGAGGCTACAACTCGTGTCCACCGGAGGACAGTTGTGTTTTTTCGGGGACCGATCGATAGATGGACGCAACACCCACGGCGAGTGCGAAGTCAGGCGTTTGCCTTTAGCCTCCGCAAAGTCATTCGCGCCGTCCGGGATGGCGCCAGCGGGCGTGGCCTCGGCATGCGAAAAAGACGGCACGGAGTGCTCCATAAGGGTTAATTCATTTCTCAGCCAGGCGCTCGATAATTGACTGTCCACACAATCGACCTTCATCGTCGCAATCTGCGTGCGCAGCATCTCCAACTCATTTTCGTACGAACTCGACAAGGCACGAACCACGTGTTCATCGTAGGCGGGGCCTGACGCGGTTGACACGAGTCGTTTGTTTTCCTCGCGTTGCTGCTGTAGTTCCGCGCGGAGCTTGGCGACCTCGGCCAACAACTCCTTTTGCCTCCGCCGCTGGCTGCTCTCATGCTCTTCCACTGCCCTGCGAAGGGCTCGCACGGTGCCGAGGCTATCGGAGAGCCTATCGCTGCACGCCTTTAGCCTCGTGTTGGTGCCACGGAGCAGATGGTGGATGTCGCCGTGGAAGATGCGGAAGATCTCGGCCGATTCCTCGCCGCACGCCATAACGATTTGAAGCCGGCCGGCCCATTCATTCTGCACAATATCCGACGCCGGGCCCAGCATTTTTCCCTCCGCACCTCCGCCAGCTACACTTCTTCCTGGCGCAACCCACTCAAGGAGGGCAGAGGAAACACCAGGTGAAAACACACACACGCATGCAAGCAAAAGTGACGCGAGCGTCGATAGGCCGCAGAAAGTCAGCCACAGAAAAAAAAAAAACTGCAGACCCCCACACAGTTATAAGAAAGGCGAAAATGAAAGACAAAAATATATTTAATAATATAGAAAAGCTCAGTGTGCGGCGTCGCCTCAGCATTGACACCACATGATGCTCACAGCGCGAGCAAGGCAAGAGGAGTGAGCGGGTGGGGGGAGGGGGGGGTCCTCAAAGGGCGACATAGGGTCACCGCACAGCTACACATGCACAAAAAAAAAGCATGGCTACAGATGGAGCAAGTAGTTGGGCGTCAAGGAAATTTAAAAGGAAATGCAAATAAAAAAGAGAGAAAACAACACATATATTTTAAATACATGTGCGTAAATGTGGTTTATGTGAAGGTGATAAGGTCATTGGGGTAGACGTGTGAAAAGACGGCTTTGGGATTCACACAAGACAGCGCGTTTGTGAGGAACATGGGGGAGTCCAACTCGTCAAATACCCACACGCCCAGTGGGCCCTCCAAGACATCGAAGCCCGCCGTTTTGTAATCCTGAATTGTTCCCCAAACGGAGCACCAGCAGCCAAACGTCATGCTATACTTTCGGAGGGCATCCTCAACGTCATGCGAAAAACGGCGCCTC